AAGTCTTTTTTTAATATATACTTAACTCAATAAATTGTTTTTCAATCAACATTAAAAGTGATTTAGGAGTGAGCTCATGGGTTTTAAAAGTTCAGAAACTGAACAAAGCAACATATTTCAAAATTTAATATTTATGCTTGTCTAATCAATACACTGCTAACAAAGATTGGGAAAGTGATTACTTAATTAAGCTTTGGCAGATTAGAGTTGTTTGTCATCACCTCAGTGAGGACTAAAGAAAGCAAGGATGCTCCCTGTGATAGCTGGGCTTTTGATCCTCCTTAGAGAGAGAAATGGAAAAGATGAGGTTCCTTTTTTTATATGCATTGGCACATCTACTTGAAAAATTTTGTTCAGAATCTTCCTAGGGATCTTTTTTGTAACCTTGGTGTTATACCTCACTTTTTTTTCTGATTACCAAATTAAACCTCGCTCCTTTTGACAAGTGTTTGCCATCAATGTTTAGAATCTAAATCTTTGTACAAAGAGTCAAGTTACCTAAGTGTTTTATATCTATCTGAAGTTTCTGGATTTCATGTGAGATGGGAAGATTAGCACTTATAGTTGATAAGTTAACTTTATTTCCTAAAAATGGATTAAATTCTTGAGTTTCTTATTTTTTGCAACACAAATGTTTGCACTCATGAGAAAATTCAGCTGACACCATTTAGAGAAATCAAGGAAATAAATGGCGAAAACAGCTGTAAGGAAATTAATATATGGCTAGTTTGCTTGGAGTACAGTGAATTTCTCAGTCAGAGCAGAGTTTCTATCTGCTACAACCATTAATTTTGCTGATTTACTATAAACATTTGAAATGGCATAAGAGAGACTAATTTCCTGCCTTTCTTTTAGAAATAGTACTGCCTGATTCCCACATGCAGCCCACTTCAGCTTGGAGTGTTTATTAGTACTATTTATTGTTCTAGTTAAGCCTGGGTGGCATTCCTTGAGCTACCACAGTTCACTGCAAAGAGCAGCCTGCAGGGCTGTGAGGCATCCCTGATCATCGGAAGTTGACAGCTGTTTAGGTTGAGAAACCATCAAGATCCCTTTCTTCAGACTCTCGAATTTGGGAAGTTTGTGTTCTGGTTTGTGGCTCGTGAGGTGTAGGTATTAATCTATAGGAAGGAAGTGCAAAATTACCTTGATTTTGTCCAAGAATGAGAGTTTCACAGAACTTTGGGAGCAACTTTAAGCCTCTTGTAGTGACAAGATCAGATAACAAGCATGATGAAACACTAACTCATGACTCCAGAGAGCGGTGCTGTTCAGCTGGGGTCTCTGTATCCATCATCCCAGAGCAGCTGCTGTGGATCAGCAGCTGACCCAGAGCCCAGGACTGATCCCTCCCTCTGCCTGCTCTCATGGCTCAGGAGAGGGGAGATAACATGTCTGTGTAGGACAGCTCAATGCAGAGGGGTAAGGATGGGAGAAGGACCTTCCAACAAGGGCAAAAAAGTAAAATGCTCCTAGATATCAGGAGTAGAACCAGGATCTGTCCTGCTGACAGAACAGCAGGCCCTGCCCTCTGTAAAAAGCAAACCTGGAGAAAATTCTGTGCTTGGTCTTTTAGGGAGTGAGTGAGGCAAAGTGGCTGGGCTTGGACACACAAGATGAGGTGGTCTGATCAGCAGGTTGTGCTGTTGTATCATTGGAAGCACTCCTCCTAGCTTCCTACAAATTCCTTATGGCAATGTGCACATTTATCAACAAATAAAAAGATCTTCTAAGATCTTTCAAAAGATCTTTCTTTTAAAAGATCTCTCATTTTGAACTCTTAGGCTCATATTCATCATGTCCTGCAATTAAAGCAGTTTATATAATTTAGAATATTACATCTGACAAGGCTTCCATTCTAATCCTTACATTTTGTCATTATTAGATCATTTAAATTAACATGCTGGTCTGATTAAGTAATTCTAGTCTCCACCTCTACCTCTGGTGGCAATACCTAAAAAGGGTGGCAATACCTAAAAATATTTAATCTTACAGTAATGAAACTTTGAGTAACCAGTAGCATGTTTGTAAGTGTCCAGGAGCCAGTGTTAGGGGGCTTGATTATTACTGTGGAGGAGGTGAGAATTTTTCTTTTACTAGCTTGTTTTAACAGTCCAAGACAACATGTTCTTCAATCATTCTAGACAACTAATCTTCATTTTCTGTTTTATAACCCGAATAAAAATGTCATTTTACTTGTTTCCTGTTAACTCTTCCAAACATCTTGTGCCTCTGCCTTGGCCAGACAAACAGTCTGCACACTGTGGTTCTGTTGGACAACTAGAAACTGTTTGCTCATTTGTTGACCCAGTTCCAGCCAAGCAATAAATGTGGAATACAAAAAATTCTGATTGTCTTGGTCAAAGTCAGAAGAATCAGGTTGTCTGTAATATTTAGTTGCCAGTGCCCAGAAAAATGGGTGTGAATACTTTCCAAAAGAAAAGCTTTAAAGAGCATATGTGATTTTAAGGATTACCATGAGCAAGAGGATTATTATTTGAGAGACAAAGAGAATAAGAGATTACAGCACATTAAAAGAGAGTTGTTTTACATCAAAGGTGTAGGATGGTTACACACTTTGTATAGTACAAGGCATTGGCCAGAGAGCCAGACAGTTGGGATTTAGATTGAGCTCTGAAGCTCTTTTAGCTTTTCTGATTTCAGCTCTATATAGCCCTGTCTGAAATATGCAAAGATGTTTGCATTCAAAAGAGAATTAAGCAATAATAATCAGCTTAGAGATTTCTGTTCTGTGATATGCTGAAGAAAAGAGAAAAAAATCCAGACATTTAGGTCAAATATAAAAAGCCTCTGGCTGTTTGGAGTGAGCATCCAGTTGAATGATCACAGGAAGAAATTTCTATTAAACATCCCATCAAAATAGTCTCTTCTTTGGCAAAATGCACAACTCAAACATTTAGTGTCTTTCATCTTGTCTTGAGATTTGTTTCCATCATCTGATCGCAGCTGAAATCTGAAAAAAAAAATTGAATGTATACTTAAAAATTATTGTGCAATATATATTCAAGACTAAAAGTTTAGATTTTATCAAAAATTTTAGATTAAGAAAATTTACAATCAGCATTATTATGGCAATAGATTGATATGATCTAGCCCAAAGGGCAGGAGCTTAATTCTCTTGCATCTCGTTTTTCTTCCTCTGCCTGCAGATGTAGCTTGTAACTTACTTGTAGGTCAGATTTGAGCCTCAAAGCTGTGACAGCATTCCTGTAAATATGTTTGCAGCTGAATGACAGTTCCACATTGTCTGTCCCAAGAGCTGAGCACAGCAATTCATTAACTCTGAACTATCATCCAGCCATTTGACATATCCCTATGTGTATCCCAACTCTCTCAGGACTGGATTGGTAAGTTCCAGCATTCATCAAATAAAGCATCCAGACACATTGCAATAAGCCTACTGTTCGTGTAATTAAATAAATGCAGGGAGCATGTAAATGAGTCTTTGGCAGCATGAGCCCTCGGCAGCAGCGGAGTTCGGCATTCCACTTTTCCCGATGCAGTGATGTTCCCGGACCTGAGTGCCCCTGCGGCCGGCCCGGTGCAACTAATGGCCTTTTTTCTGCCCAAAGTGTAAAATGCCATCGGTTAAGGAAAGAGTGTTTGTAGTTCATACATCATCTGACAGGGTTTCCTTCCTCTGGCAGGGTTTCCCAGGGCTGTGGCGGAGGCAGTAACAATAGCAGGCAAACACCAGAGGGAGTTCTTGTTCTACTGGAGAACAGAGTGCCTCAGGACACGGTGTTTTAAATAGTGTGAGGCTTCTACCCAACGAAAAATATTCAGGTGACATGACTTCACAAAATGTAAATGGTGAAACCATTAATTCTAATCATGTTTGAAAGAGTTGGTGTTCTTCGCCAGTTTTTAGTGCTGATTCCAATGTTCTGCTTCTTTGTACCAAGCAGTTGCTGCTTAACACCCACTCACCTTCCAATAAATTTTTTTTTCATCTCTTCACAATACTAGAGCCTTGGAGTTCAGTGTCAAGAGCCAGATGAGCAGGCAATAAGAAGTAACCTTTTTCACTTGTTTATTAAAGGAGTCTTTTCTCCTGGTCCATCCACACACAGGCTGATACTCGGTCAGAGTGCCTATGTGTCTTGACTGGTAAAGTCCACATACCCTCAGAGTCCTGGCTCCTCAGAGTCCTGCTTGTGGAAAATGACCAGGCTGCAACCATCTCCCCAGCTGACTTAGACTTCCATGGAAGCAAATCTGGATACAACAATAGGAAATAAGCAAGTGGGTTATCTACATACTGGAAAGAGGCTGCCCTTTCAGCAGCTATACCTGCATTTTATGCCTGCTGAAAGTCTGGCTGCCTTCTGCTCATGAAGTTTCAGCTAGCCAAGACCAGGAAAAATGCATCCCCTGGGCTTTCTATAGAGAGGCTTTTGCAACTGCTCAATTTGCAGTAACTGATTGAAAGAAAACACACAGTCAGTCCCAAGGTGAATCTATGCCAGTATCTTTTAGAAGAACATTTCAGTGAACAAACTGACCCAATTCCATTACACTTCACACAATGCAGGGGCAGGTGGAAAGCTTCTCCAATTCACTGCTGAACTTCCAAGACTAAAGGACTAAAGTGGAGAGTCACTGTCTGCTTTTTCCGTGCATGTAATGAATGCTTCTGCTCTGACTGCTTTTAGTTTCTGTTGTTGCAACGGTGCTTAACTTTCCACAGCCATTACACTGAGTGTCACCTGTGGAATATGAAGCAAAGATCAGCTCACCTGTCTTTTCAGCAGAAGACTTCAAAGCTCTATTTTCTATTCTCAAAAGGGTATTCTGTAAAAATCGCCCTTTCATTGATGAATATCAAAGTAAATCCCGGCTGAGCCCAATGTTAAATTGTATACCCCTGGCTTTCACAATGCTGCCAAGGTGAAGGATTCTGCAACAAAACTATTTTTCCTAACAGTTTTATTGCAGGTGTGTAAGATCTAATGGAGATGAGCCTATTCTCTTCTTAGGTGTGTCAGCTTTACAGAGCTCACCAGCACAAAAAGAGGATCTTGGCATTCTTACAGTGGCGAACATAGAAGACGCTTCATACATCCGGGTGGATGACTTGCATTGTCAAGATCTTTTAAAAGATCTGGGCGTTATTAGAGGTGGGTGTTTAATTGTTGATTAATTAAAACAGAACCATACATTAATTATCCAGGCAGTAAACCTTTTTCTTCTGATAGGTAAAAAAGAACTCTGACTGAACTGGGATCACACTCTTGCCTCAACTACACCAACCTGAATGTAGAGGAGGAGAACTGTATTTATGCATTTGATGAGGTAGATAGGCAAAATTCTCAGAAATCTCTATGCAGACTAGATGTTCAAGTAGTTTTGGTTTTACAAATCTGTTCAAATATCAGTATCTCTGTGAAGTCAGGTATGATTCCTTGGTTACAAAGTAATTGCTCCTCATTTTGAAGGTAAAAATAAAAATCAGTATAAATTTGATATTTCCTACAATATGAAGTAAAAGTTCTTATAAAACCAGCTTCAGATTAGGAAGATAAAACTCTCTGCACTGCTCTCATAGTCAGTGTAAAGTCAGACCTAAAGTTAGATTTTAGTGGTAACATGCTGTCTTCAGAAATGATATTGCCATATAGTATCCCTAGGCCCATTTCAGTAGCTTTCTCCCTCCAACTCTGCTAATACAGCTGTTTTATGGACCCGTGCTGTGAATATGGACTTAATTTTTTAAAAAAAATAAGAAAGAGAGAGAAAGAGGGGGAAAAACTGCTACCAGTGAAAACAAATGCCATCAGATCTTGTCCTTAATACATGCTCTGGAAGGAGCTGAAGTGATCCTTTGTGAACAGCCTACTCACTGGGGACATTTCCATTACAGACTTTCAAACACGTCCGTGTGTCCGTGTGTCATTTCTCTGTGACTTGCTCACATCTCCTGAGTAGTGCAAGTGTTTCTTCTGCAACAGCATTGTAGCACTGATGTGATGGGAAATAACCTTATTTCTACAGCAGCTTTTATGATGAATCCTGATGTTTGGCCTGGAAAATGTTGACTTGCTGGAGAATGGATAGAAGCTGCACAGGACTTTGTGGCTGTAGCAACTGTCCTTCATTAAGTACAGATATCCAAAACAAACTGTTTTATAGATCTGAAACACTATGTTGTCATCACCCAAAACATAAAATCATGGTGAATAGTTCTTAAGACAAAAGTGCCACAGCAAACATTGGAACTGTCATATTTGTGTAAACCCAAGAGCACTATAAACAGTTAAAATTTGAAATGCCTAGCATGACTTACATTCAAAACTATTCACTGTGATATTACCTTAAATCTCAAAAAGCTCTGCTAGGCTGGTTGCAGGGACAGGAAGGAGGCATTTGTAACATGAAGAGTCATTTCTCACTAGGATCTTTCAGGATCTGGGTCTGTGAAAAAAAATCTTTAATTGTGAGAAGAAAGGAAAAAAAAAACATCTTGCCCTTGGGAAAATACACAGCTTGTAAAGCTTATATAGCTCTCCTTTAACAACACGTTTTTAGATACCTGTGCTTTTGAATGCCTACTTTAAAGAACACTCAGTCTTTGGAACCCTTTCATGAGGACATATAATCTATGATAAAAATTTATTTTATTCACGTCACTGTATGTGTCCATATGTCAGACCTCAAACACAGAGACTGATTTCCAGGAGTAAAACTCTGAATTACTCTTACAGCCATCTTTTGTTTTCTTTATTTCTATCTGAAGTTGTTACATCAAGATATTAAGACACTTCATTTGATGTTTGTGGTCTTCTGAAACTGAAGCCCTTCCACCTCATCTGAAATACAATGTCTACATTTCTGCTACAGTACATTTTCCTTATCTCAGCTGTGTTAAAACCTATTTACCAAGGTAAATCCAAATTATTTACATATTAAAAAAAACTCATCACTCGTTTGAATCCCCTGAACACCTTATTCCTCTAATTCAGTACAGGATATTTGTTTAGAAATATCTGGATGCCTTCAGAACTTGATGGAACTTTATCACTTTTAACCTGTCATCAAAGTGCTTAATCAGTGCCTGCCAATGCTAAGCTGTTAGTATCCACTCCTCCCCTTTACTACAACACCTTAGTTTCATTTATGCAGCTGTATTTGCATCAGGAAAGTTTCAGAGGCCTCAGCCCAGGATTTGCATGAGCTTACAAACTCAAACCATGCTCAGGTTCATTCAGGAGCAGCCCCAGAGCCAATTCTGTTTTGCCTCTGCTGTGTCCAGTCTAATAACTGTTTCTCACTGGAGCCTGGATCCATAATGGGTCCTTTGGGAACCCAAACTATGTCTAGTTTCTTTTGCTAAATTGGAGAAGCAAAGGTTTAAGAGGTCCATCCTGAATCCTGTCTTACTTCCACTTTCCGGGATCCTTTGGGAGTATATTTCTAACCCAAGCTCTGGTGTTGGCTACAGAAAAGATAAAATGTAAGCAGGACACATTTTTGTATATAAGTTTAAGGGACCTCTTTTTAATAATGTGATGGCACTGTGAGGGCAGTAACAATGTCCATTTCCATCAGTCTGTTATCATTCATCCCTAAAATGGCACACAGCCACTCCAGAATGTAGTGTGATTCATATGAAAGCTTTGACCAAGCCTGTACTTGACATCTTTTGTGCTTTGCTGAGGATTATTTCAGGGGGCACTTGGGGAGAGAACAACTGAAGACTGAAGCTGTTGGTATACACACAGATGTGTATTCCTGAGCTACCATTTCCCTGCCTGACCTCAGGAAGACTAGATGAAACACAGCACTAGCTGCTGAGTCAGTGAGGATCTTTGAACTGATAACTATGGCATGTTCTGTGATGTGGTTTGCCTGGAAACATATTTGTTTCTTTTAAAAATACAAAATACCAAAATGACATCAGTTGTAGTGTGCATTGAAAAACTTAGGCTGAGATGGCAAGCTGTTTTAGTCCATAAATGATTGCAGATGTTTGGGTGAGGCTGAAAAACACGAGGCTTTTCAAACATGTATATTTGGGAAAGGAAGCTAGGCACACATATAAACATGAACATATTTGTTATATATTGCAGCCTGTCAGCTGGTCCCATTTCAGATTGGCAATTATTAAAGATGTGCAAAAGTAAGTGGAAACTATGATAGCTGCAATGCATCTGGTTTAGTGTGTGTTTTCTATTTCTGACCCTATAGGCTTTCTTCCTTTTGTCTGATGCCAGTTACATACTAAACACATAGAACTATCAACAGGCTGGAAAAGAGGCCTAGGAGGTATACTGCTGGTTTTTATTATCACCAGATTGCAAAAGCATATAGCCTGAGCTGGTTTTCAAGCAGGCTAAATCACAGCTCTATGTCCCAGGAGCCTGCTTTGCAGAGCAGGATCTGGATGGTACCAATTTAGAAAGCTCTCTAAGTCTGTGATGCCCTGTAAGTGAATGAGTCATTTGCCAGAGTCACAGGCCTGGGAACAGGATAGAAAGAAGAGCTACTAGATGAAGAACTGTTGGCATTAGGTCTTCCTCCTGATCTTCAAATTTGGGCTGTTTGGCCCTGAGTTCCAGAAGGAAGGTCCAAATGGTTCTTGCTGACACAGACAGCATCAAGAAAGTAAGTGGCAACAGCTGTTGGAGGACAGGGACACCTTTTTCCCAGCCATAAGAAAAAAGAAGCCATCATGTGCCTTCACCTTCAAAAAGCCAATGGCAGACAAAATCTGTCATGATTTTTTTTTTTTGTGTGTGTCACCTCTTTGGGCCAAGTTGCAGCCTTTTAATACCTTGCCATGTGATAATTCTAACAAATCCTTCATCTGACTTGTTCAGCCTTACCTTCTGTGCAGCTGTGGGCAGAGTGAGGAGGTGCTGCAGTGTGTTTGCAGTTGTTCTGCAGCATTATCTCTAGTTATGTGTTGAGTTCCTGTAAACCCAGCTACTGACATCTCTGCTCTCCTGTGTTTATTATTGATGAAAAATTAAAAGTAAAGCTTCAAGTATTAACATAGCAGAAAATCTCGTCATTCAGTTCTCTTAAAAATTAAACTGTCAACTACTTTTTCAAAGTTGCCCTTTTTAGGAAACTGCAACTTTTACAATGTGCAGTTGGAAGATGGATAACAAAACTTCTTTCCTGATCAATGTTCTTTTCTGTTTGACAGACATTTTATTTTAAAATGTGGGTTTGATATAAGTGTGCCAGAAGTGCCAAAATTTAAGTGCAAAAGGCTAGGGAAGACAATCTGGCTTTTTTATGAATTGTCCAAAACTATTTAGATGTTTTGGTTTTACTCTATGGGTTCAAGAAGCAGTGACGCAAATAAATAATATTTTTTCATTAAAATAAATGAAAAAAAAAATTTATTAAAATGAAAATTTTTTTCATTAAAATCTACTAAGGAATTGCAAAGGATATCACATCAGACTAGTAAGTAATTGCATATAATTGAAATTCACAAGTGAAAAAAATGGGTTTCAGGTACATATATTCAAAAAAAGACTGTAAGCATTGATTGGATGTGCTAGAAGGCTAAATTTAGCCAGTGATTTCAAAATTCATCACTGGTATTCTGTTGTTTGTTCTTTTCTCAATACCCCCAACTTCATAAATATGTTTCTGTTTAAAATGTCTTCTCAATGTTTGCAAGGTTCAGTAAAACTTAGCAGCTGTGAGGAGAAAAAAGCACAAAGTCATTGCAGGTTCTGTCTACACAAAGAGCGGCAGACAGCAACTTAGATTGAAACTGGTGGCCCAAGTGGCACCAGGGACTAAGGGTTTCATCAAGAGCAGAGTTATTCATAGGAATAACTGAAAAATGGTGGGACAGCTCACATGACTGGAGGATTGTGATGGATGGCTACAGGCTGTTTCAAAAAGACCAGCAGGGCAAAACTGGAGGAGTCTTGCTCTTTGTCAAGGGGAAGTTTTCTGATACATGGAAGTCAACCACAGCACCTGTGGAAGCCCTACAGAATGCCCGTGAATTAGGATCAAAGAAGTCATCTTCAAGGGGAATGTTTCAGTAGGCAACTTCTAGTGACCTCCAAACCAAGACAATAAGACCAACAAAACCATATTTGGGGCATTTAAGCAAGCTATGGAAGGTTCACAGGACCTGGTTCATGTGGGT